ACAGTATTTAAAATGAAGCACATGTTTTCAAAGTGAGGTGGAAAACAATACTTCTATTAATTAAATTGTGGAATTACAGAATTCAAAGCAGGAAACTTGGGGCTATTATATCTGGAACGCCAGACTTCACATTATTTATGGTATTTCTTTGCTGCTCTCTAATGACCATCCAGATTTTTGCAGTCGACATGTGGATAGTTTTAAAGAAAGCATAAGGCAGTTTTCCGACTGAGTCACTCCATATATTATAGAACTGCAATTCATGTTACAGGGCAACTGTGGAAGTGTTATCATTAAGGATCACATCAATCTCATGAGGCAAAAAAGGAAAAGATTCTGTCTGTCCAGTCTCTTTAGCTTGTAGTTGAGTAATGACTTGAACTTGATTGAAACTAGGAGACTGTGAGTTCTAGTCCTGCCTTAAGCTGGTTCACACCACTTCGGCAGAACTGGTAGCTAATTTTTTGTTGCCCAGGCCCAGAATGGACTTCTGGAAGCAGCATCCACACAGAGAACCTGTTGTTCACATATCTGAATCCCACCACTGCTTAAGACACAAAACTAGCTGAGTGACCTTGGGCCAGCCACCCTCTCTCATCTTAGGAAGGGGTAGTGGCAACATACCCATCCCCACCCCCACCCCCCACTTGCTGTTCTAACCAGGTACCAGGGTAGAAAAGGGAGTGCTAACAGGTAAATCATTTCTTACCAATTTGAAATTGTCATGTACAGTATTACTTGATATAGAGCTGATGGTGCATAATTTTCCTCTTGATTTTGCTTAATATTGTTATTATATTTTTGTATGTTTTTGTATTTTGTTGTATTGTTTTCTTTTTGTATTTTTGTGTATTTTTAAAATAGCTTGCAATGATACAATAAAAAAGATTCTAATTAAAAAAATAAATATATATCAAGTAAACTATATAGAGTAGAACTTAACACAGGAATAATTTGGATACTTTCTTTTGGGTGCAAAAATGTTATAAAACTCTAAAAATTATCTCCTCCATTAATTGGGGTAATAATATTTTACTTAATTTTGGGCAGTTTTAAATTATATCACCAGATATATTATACCAGAATTCTTAATGCTAAGGTGAAAATCAATTAGACATTTTAATGTAAACCCCTTTTAAGTTTTTATTAGTGGGGAATACAATATTGACTCCACAAACAAGTTCCACAATGATACCTTTTTCAGTTACCTCTTCCTTGATAAACATTAAATTGTAGAGCATTAATGCCTATATATTAGCATCTAAATATTCAAGAAAAGCAGAGCAGGTCAGTGTGGTTAAATCAATAATTCTGATTGCTAGTCATTAAAGAGGTTGAATATAGCTCTGCAAAACCACAAGACAAGAATGCTAATGTTCATTCCACTCTAGGCATAAAGCACGAAGCCGAAGACCCCAGCCTGAAGATGATGAGTGGGACCTCGTTGAAACGTCGCCAAGATACTCTCAATCTTACATGGGAAAAGATCCGAATACGCCAAGACCTACATACCTGTACCCGTGAAAATCTACAAACACACACACACACACACATATATATTATATATTAGTTTTTTACAATAACAATTTATCTTTTGATTCCTCAGTTTGAAGTATTGTGGGCATTTTATGTTAGTAACGTTTTTATATAAGCTGTACAGTTTAAAAATTGTCAACTAACAGGTAAGAGTAATGCTTAAAAGTGTAAACTTTATGAATTCCTTCGTCTTGTGGATTAATTGCTGTCTGTCTTACAATCCCAATCAGAACCATCTTTGGTACATGAAACAGACATGATCTCTTCTTTGAAAGAGTCAAATGAAGCAAATTTCAAAAAACAAAATTCTAGCAAGAATTAAATAGAACAACAGAACCCTTTTAACTGATGAAGGTTATAAGTCTGCTGCATGTTTTAATGCTTTAAAAATAATTTAAGATGCCAAGGACATGAGATATAAAAAGAATATTGACCAAAAAGAATACTGATAGACAAGTCAAAGGAACTGTTTTGCTTCTTATTGTGGAAGATATGGAGAAAGGGCATAATTAAGAAGCCATTCTGATCCAGGAAGTAGGTCAGGAAGGTTATTCAGAATCAAATTTTAACAAAACTTGAATTGTTCAATATCCATTCAAGAATAGTTACCACTGAATCTCATTAATATTTTTAGATTTTTAATGTTACAATTTCTTGAAGGAAAGCAAGAGAACACATACATGTACGTGGTTTAACATACCATATTATCTTCACAATAATCCTATGGGATTGATTAGTTATCAAGTCTGTCTAAAAGTCACTTAGCTGGGAGTGAATTAGTAGGGATTTGAATTTTGACCTGATAATCTTAGCTGCTATATAATCTATAGATAGATGGAAATACTGTAAACATGGAAAAATGAGGCTGATGAGGCATACGTTAACAGGTTAAATGCATAAAGAAGTTGTTTCTAAACACATTTTAGGTGTTTGGGTCTACTTTTTACAGTGGGACTATTTTGTTTTGGGCAAAAATTGTTTCTGGAATAAGAATAGGAAAGCAAGGCCAGCAGCAGCTGAGGTGAGGGATAGGAAGCACTGGGAAGATTGGGATTGTTGAACCAATGCAACATGCTGCCTCAGGAATTGGTGAGAGGAGAAGGAGCGACAACATCCACCAGTATTGCCCTGTTCACCCGATCTGGAGTTTTTACCTTAAATCTTGAAAAATCAAACATTCCCATTCTAGCTGGGTAGTTCAGCAGAGCCTCAGTCTACTACAGCTCTGCATTTAGCAATTTCACCTATATAGCTGGAACTCAATTTTTCCACTGACTTTCTGGCTTGAATGATACCACTACTTTAAAACTGAATAGATGCCAGCTCCTCTCACAGTAAAGTCCATTATTAAATTATAGAAATAAATAAACCAAAACAATTACAAAATACCCAGGCCCCAAACAGGTATGATTCTCCTTAAAGGGTCAAGTAAGGGCTGTATGATAATAACCAAGGTTTTCAAAAGGGTCCCGAAATTTCATTCTTCCTCCTGAGGTAGCTTAGCTTTTCTTCAGTTTCCATTTCTTTTTCTCCTGACACCTTCAACTTTCCACCCCAAAACTTAGAACCTTTAATTATTCTACCCTTCCTATTTCTATTGCAGATTATCCCCTGGAGAAGAAGAGACAACCTGCCCCCTGCGATTGGGCAGTGACAGTCCATTTCAACTCCAGCTAGCAGCATGATCCTACTCTTTAGCTGTAAATTTTATTCTACAAGCCCCTTTCCAGACTGCTCAGACAGTTCCCAGGGTCCCAAAGCTAAGGGGCATGCCAATCGAGTCCATGTTACACTGTGTTTAAGAAAGGAAAAGACAAAAGATAGGATTTGAACTTCCGCTGTATTCTGTACTAGAATTTCTTTTCCCAAATTCTGATCAGAAATTCTCGTATAAATATGAGAAAGTGTTCTATGTGCAACGATTTCTGAATAATCATGTGACACCAGAAAATACAAAAAACAGCATTTTTTTAATTCTGATTGCCAAATTATTTAAGGCAAGTATAAAAATGAAAGCATTCAATATACATCTTACATAAAATAAACTAGATTACAGCATAAAACAAGTAACGAGGCAATGGCATTAAAGTCTCTCTTCTAAAACGGGATAATTGTAAACATTAAAAAAAAGACTGCAGGACTATTCAAGTAATAGAACAATCACAGACGTCTTCTGGTATGCAGGCTATTGGGTTATTTGCCATTAAAGATTATAAAAAAAGACATTTCATTATTCACAGATGCTCATTATTTTCCCATTTTAAAATCTATACATTATGTACAACACAGTTTTTGTGGTACTGGCAAGCCCATGCCTTCCAAATGTATATTTTTCACAATACACAATTACAATGAAACAGTTAATACAGTAACATTTTATACTGATGCATCTTAATAGGAGCCACCAAATGGACATCTAAATTGTACCAAAGTGTCATCGTCATTATCACAGTTAGCCTCTATTGAGGTTGTGGGCAATATTAGAAGAGTATGCAAGTTTCAGGCACACAGATACATAACATTAGTTATTTACAATTTTTAAAAAGGAAAAAAGGAAGAAAAAAGGGAACAACCAACTTTTTGTAGATAACGCTTTCTAAACAAGACAAATACACTTTTTTTCATTTACTTGTGTGGTTTACAATTTAGTATTAGACTCTTTGTATGAGCCTAATTACAGATACAAAAAAGTAAAGAATATACATACATACATA